ATAAGTTTTCAACAAATATTGTTAATTTCATTCAACAATATAAATTAGATGGTGTACATTTAGATTGGGAATTTCCGGGAACTACAACTGAAGGTGCTAATTATAATTTATTATTCAAAGCAATTAAATCAAAAATGTCAACCTTAGTCTCAATTGCATTACCACCATCAGATTATTCTCTTAGATACTTCCCATTGAAAGATTTAGATAAAAATATGGATTATTTCATTTTAATGAATTATGATTATTATGGACAATGGGATTATACCATGAATATTGGAGTTGGATGTCATGTTGATAAAACCGTTACAGTTGAATCAATTGAAATGATAGTTAAATCAGGGATTAATACCAAGAAATTATATGGAGGGGTAGCAAATTATGCCAGAACATTTAAATTGAAATCAACTAGTTGTACTGGTTTTGGATGTGCATTCACGGGACCAACATCAGGTGCAATTAAGGGTAAATTGACCAATTATGCTGGATTTATGAGTGAGAATGAATTGTTAGCAATTAACAAATCTGATAGAACCAGATGGAGCGATGCTAATTCTCATTGTGATATTATGACTTATGAAAAGGGAACCAATTGGGCTGCATGGATGAAGGCTGCTGAACGTACTAATTTGATACAATGGTATCAACAGATTGGACTTGGTGGTAGTGCCTTATGGGCCATTAATTATGATTTACCTGTAAATTAATAGACTTTTCTTTCATCTACATACTACAATATATACTTTAAAATAGACAATCTAATTTATAATTAACAATGGGCTTAAGTAAAACGCGTAATTAATTGCAACAATAAAGGTGGATTTATACAATGGAACCTATTTGGACTTGTGCGCTACTCGTGTGATTGACGTGTTGTAACAGAGTGATAGAGGGTTGCAGCATAGGACCGCCCCTCACATGTCCATGCCACATAACGTGAAACAACATTTCGGATGTTTAGAAATGTCTCTTGGCAGGTGGTTCAGTCAAGGGGGAGTACGAACATTCTTGTGTTGCAAAAAATAAGATTTAGAAAAGAATCTTCTTTAAGAGTTTACGAGTTGAATAACTTCAATAACGAGCTTACAGTAAGACGAAGGAATGGCATCATTCCATCAATCAATCTTCAGACGAGGAATTGGAATCAATCCATCCGAGACGAGAGAGCATTCTTATCAATGATCAAACTATTCAGAGGCGAATCAATCTCATTCAAACTGTTATGTTTATATAGGGCCTTCTATTCATTATACGTTCTGGGACTCGCACTAGTCTTGTGACTCTCAGGTTCTTCCTTCTTCCAATTCATGCAATCTTGACTGTAGGTCTAAAGATCCGCGGTCATACAGGGTGTTAGATTAACGTACGTGAGGGTGCGGCCCTTCTGTTACACGAGTGAAAATAATCTCAAAACCATAACAATAAAATATTTTCATCTGAAAAAAGTTAGATCTCTTGTGAAAGAATCGGGAGTCATACCTAATTTGTTAACCTTATTCCAAAATCATATTCTTGGGCCCAATCACGACCGATTCATTTGCATAATTCTCTTCTCATTTCCAATGTATTCTCTGAATATGGGAAACCACTTGGAAGAGTATCAACCTAATCTCTGTTACCTGGATTTTGCTGAAAAAAATACATAAATTACTCGACGAATTTAAACAATTAAAAGACACAATAGTAGAAATGAACAACAAAGCCAACAAACTACAATGGAGCTTGTAGCGTGTTTTAACCGAAGCCACCATTTTTGGACATTTTATTTTTTCTCTATACATCGACAGGCTAGTTTTATTCGCCACTTTTAGAACATCTATAATGTAAAAAATAAAATCTCATTGTTTCCACAGAGATATTTACAATGCATTTAATATTCAATAAATTGACGATTTATGAAATATCTCCAAAATATATTCTTCTATATATACCACAATTCCCATTCTATTTCCAAAAATAATGACTCTACTCTAAAAGCCCCTGCCTATTCTCTTTTTGTTCCTATTCTAAAATGAAGGCTTCACTTATACCGTTCTTCGTTATCCTTTCGACCCTCTTCTCATTGGGTCTTGCGACCACATGTACAGGTTCCACTCTGGTCTCTGAAAATGTCTTTTTCGGATATTGGAAAGGTACAAAAACCGCCGCTAACCAAAAAGCCGCTATTACTGCAATTAATTATTTCAAGACACAATTGAAGAATAATCCAAGCCGCGAATCATTCAGTTATTCAAGTGGTAATATTGTCGGATATATGTGGGTTGGTAGTATGATTCAAAATAGTGGATTTGCAACCAGTGATGCTATGACGGTGATATACGATGAAGTGAATAATAATGGTATCCCCAATTCACTTTATATTGAATATGTTGTCGCTGGTGATCCGACTAATGGGTTTGGTATTGTTTTGGATACTGGTGGAACCGCAAATTATGGGAATATGCAAAGAGCAGTTAGATTATGGTCTGAAGGTAAACCATTCAATACATATCAAGGTAGTAAGATTTATAAGGGTAAATCATTATGTTATCTCGCATGGGGAAACAGAAAAACCATCACT